CGTAATTCTGTATTCATTTTCCCCTCAGAATGATAGATATTTGATGAAACGAAATCCAGAATTATTTTAAAAATATAAAAGTTGGAGCCCAGCTGTGGTCCCTGGAGTTTTAATTCTGACTGTAGTTAAATTCAAAGGAAAATTTGTATTTCTTTATATGGAATTGAAACAGACCCACAGTTTCACTTTCAATAAGTATATGGAAATCAATATGCTGTAAAGTAGTTTATGCTATTTTTCCATTTCCATCTGCTCCCTTCCATTGCATCTTTTTGTGAGTGACAGCATAATAATTGCTGTACCAATTAATACCCTTCCAATCCAACTGCATCGTTACTGCAAAATAAATGTTTTGCTTTGTAGCAGTTTGTCCTGCTATGAAACTTTGCTTTAGTTATTCCAATCATCTAACAGCAGAAAAGGAAAAGCTGCTTTGTCATCAATAGCTCAATAGAAGACACTGTATACTCAATACAGAGACTTGGCAGAATTTTAATCAGTATCAATTTATAAATAGGATAACAGCAATCATTTATTTTCTGCCTTAAATGAAAGTATCCTTTTTGATGCAATAATAGCCACTTAACTGATTTGAGATTGTAGTAGGGTTTTTTTGAGGAACAATTTCTTTATCCAGAATAAAATGTGGAGTCTCTTTCTTTGCAACAAAAGCTCTTAGAGGATAAAAGCTTCCATCTGACATAAGCAGTCATAATAATTTAGTTTCTTGCAGTAAGTGTTTCATTTTCCCTAGTGGGCTTTCAGTGCATAACTACAGTGCCTTTCCCAGTTTGTCCTGTGTCTTAACAAAAATTCTTCAAAGAACATCCGAGGTTGAAACATCTCAAGACAGGCTTCTCCACCAAACCATATCCTCAGTACAATCTGCAGGCTTCCTCTGGTATGAATAGGAGGTTTCAGTGCTGTTGGGGAAAGTCCTTAGAGGACATAAATCTAGATTAAAGGCTGGTACTAGTTTTCTGAACTTTTCTGGCTGAAGGGCTGCATTTATTGTCTGGTGAGAATTGTGTTAGGAAACAAAATACAACTAACTCCTTACTGACATTTCATGCCTGAAACATCTGTTAGCTAATTGGGTTTTTTTCCACCTCCTTGCACCATCCTTTGTGGATAAAACCTCATTGTCTCTGTTTCACTGGTTTCCAGACTGTTCTGTTTATTGTGAACAACAGAATTTTCAGATGAATATTTCTGAAAAGAAAAGATTGCTTTACAGTGCAACAAGTGATTGAGTTTATTTGCTATTATCTTGCACTCATTGACTCATAGAAATTTCTTTTGAACAACCATGTTTTTCTATAACATTTATAGAAACATCTATAGCAGTCAGAGCTCTTGTCCTTATGAAGTCTCATAACATTCACAAGTAAAAATATATAAAACATAATACTAATAAAGATATCCAATTGGCTTTAATTTAATGACTACAATTTTGTGCTCATGATCTTGCAAATGGAAATGACGAATTTTATTTTCAAAAATAAAGTTTATTATTATTACCTATAAAAGTAGAACTGCATTAGAAGAACATCATTTTGTTTGTAAAGTCATCCATTCAGAGGTTAAGAAATCCCAGATGAAAGCTTGCTGTGCAGCTGCAAAACTCTGCTTCTGTATTTTTGCTAATGACTATCTAATATGAGGCACTTAAAAGGCATGTAACAGAAGCTGAAACACAGGAGTCTCTGGTTCTATTAATTTTTAATCATTGTACTGCAAAAAATATGCACTTATATTAGATCTTGTGCTAGAAAAGCTTAGTCACAGGGCTTCAAAAGTGATGCTGCATCAGAGAAGTGAGGAGTCCAGTAACGAGAGCGTTCACCTGCATTTGGTTGCGTGTTGCTCACGGGTCATCATTCCCCAAACAAACTATCTGACACCAAAGGCAGTCTGAGAAAAATCCTGCCATCTCTTACCCTTGGCTGCTTGTTCCTGCTCCTCAGCTGTGCCAGTACAACGATTTGTAGGGCTCTTGCAAACCAGATGACCAAAGTGCTTCAGTCTACAAAGCAGCCTTTCAGTCACAACGGCACAACTGAGGGACAGTGAACAGCAGTACCGGCAGAGAGGAGAAAGGGAACATTTTCAGCTGATTTTTCCATTACAGAAAGTATAATGTTGAACCTTACCCACAGGCAGAGGGGAATTTTAACACGGGACTTGTACATCACAGATGAGTACTCTAACCAAAGAATATCAAATGAGAGAGTCCCTTGAATTCTGGTGTTGGAAAAGAAAAGCATGACCATGTTTTTAAATTTAGAATAGAAAAAGGGCTGGCCCCTGCCTCCTGGTTAAGAATTTGAATTCTGAAGCCAAAACAGAGAGACATCTCCCAAGAAGCAGCAGTAAGGGAGCTTTTAAAGCCTAACCCTGGTTCTCTCTTTTTTTTTTTTTTTTTTTTTCATTTTAAATTCCTGGGGCACCAATTACCAACACACAGAAGGGAACGCTGCATTTTGCTGCTCAGCTGTGCCAATGTTTGAAAATTGTCTGGATCTGAGAATCCACATTTTCCCCGCGTTAGTCATTGTGAGTACAAACAGGGCTTTTTTTTTTTTTTTTTTCCTTCTTTTTTTTCTTTTCATTTAGCTGAGCACTGCAAGTTTTCTCTTAGAAGTTGTGATCAATCTACTTATATGTACATCAGTCATTACTGTTACTAGGAAACCATTGGTTTTTTCCTCTAAAGATTTGTTGTAAATAAGCACCATGTCATGAAATAAGATCCTTCTGTATACTGCCTCTGCTTCCAACATAATTAAGATCAGGAAAAATCTAATTTTGGTGTAATTTGCCAGGTTACATTAAATTATCTTGATGAATCATTCATACCTAATTGCTTTGGACTACGGCTTCATTGCATTCTGTGATCCTGAGAGTAAATTTAAATAAAGGTTGAAGTAGGCTGAATACCTTTCCAAGGTCCTGTCCTGGAACAGAAAAAACCCAAAACATTTCATATGTAAGCCACAGGGAAAAGGTCATGAGGTATGTATTAGTCAAATTCCTTTTATGCTGACTTCAGAAGAACTGGAGAGAGAGTTTTGTATTCTTGAAAACAGCTGTGGTACGAAAGAGCTGCAAAATCCACAAACAGCATTCTTCTTCTCTCTTAAACTTTTCAGGCTCAAATATGACACAAAAAATACTATTAAAGCAGGAAGCTTAGAAAACTGTGGAGCTTAAATTCTTTACTGTAAAAACTTTATCTTTAGTTTCAAAATCCTTACTACTGACATAAAGTGTATTGTAGAGATGCTGCAGTACCTAAGGCTCCATATGTCAGCTGTACAAATAGTAAAATAATATTTAGTAGGAATGCAAATTTAAAAAAAGCAATTATCATTTAGAATTTCCAGTATGAGATAGACCAAACTAAAATAAAAAAAAACCAAAAACAAAACCAAAAAACAACAAAACCCTAAATTTTGGAAATGTACTACTTAAAGTCTTAAGCCAACTGGAACTGTTGGACTATTTCATTATTTTGCCACCATTACTTTTGATTCATTTTATTTAAATATATTAACATAGTTTATTTTTTTAAAGAAATTAATTTGAAAGTAAGTATGTTGCATAGAGGCATTCTTTCCTAAACTCACAAATTCTCTATTACCCAGAGCTTTCTCATTTCATTTGAACTGGTCCTCTATTTTATTATTATTTCCATAGATTTATGTCATTCTCTTCAGCATGAGCCTCGACCAGGTGTCTTAGAGTCTTTGGTTGCATTAAGTGTGTCTTTTAATCTTTTGGATCTGAGATTCTCTCTGACTACATATCCTAGTAGTCAGGGAAGAAGTCACTTATCCTCATTAACTCCTTTGGTTACAGAATGGCTAAAATCATAGCATCTACAAATTTTCTTTTAAAGAACAATAAAGGATGTGCTAGCAGCTGAGGAACATATCCAGGAAATGGAAGACCTGAATTTAATTTCCTTTCTAACCTTAATAGGTTCAAATTCATCTTCTGTGTTTTAAGACACTGCCTTGATACCTTGACTACAAATTAGTTTTGTAGGAGCAATCTTCCTCACTGTATTGAAGCTGCAGTATTCTACAGAAATGAATTCAAAATTAATTATATGAGATATAACAAATAGGCCTGAGTTTAGGGTACTCTCTTGATTTTTTTCTCTCTTGGTCCCAGTATTGCTCTGATAGCTCACATTCAAGGGGATCACAATTTTTTTCATGAAGCAGTCAGTAACATTTTGTAGCCAAACTTTTCCTATTCGAAAGACAGTGAGTACCTGAAGCAACATTTGTGTGACAAATCCCTTTGAAACCACTGGCATTACTTCTACCGCTTAAGCAGTGCTTCTGATAAGTGCGCTAGTTCTTCATCAGCTCTAAGCTAAGTGGTTTCCAGCGATAGGACAAGGGGCAACGGGCACAAGCCGCAACATAGGAAGTTCCATTCAAATACGAGGAAAAACTGCTTTAGGGTGAGGGTGACAGAGCACTGGAACAGGCTGCCCAGGGAGGTCGTGGAGTCCCCTTCTCTGGAGTTTTCAAGACCCGCCTTGATGCAGTCCTGAGTAATGTGCTCTGGGCAACCCTGCTTTGGCAGGGGAGTTGGACTAGATGGTCTCTAGAGGTCCCTTCCAACTCTGACAATTCTGTGATCCGTGATTCCATGAACTAACAAATATAACTGAGATTTATAGGGTAGGAAATATATAGATATGATATTCTAAAATTTTAAAAAAAAAAAAAAAAAGAAAAGAAAATTCTGACTCTAAATAATACCTGAGTTGTGTTTGGGACCTTCTGCCTCCGCTGGGCATCCATCTCTTGCTCCTTCCTCAGGCACAGGCAAAACCATCCTCTGCAGCCCCAGCAGGGCACCACGGGACATTACAAAGCCCATCAGAGCCCACATCCATGGCGAAAGTCCTGGAGTATATTAAAATTTATTAGATTAAAGCCCAGTTAACACCTTTTGTGTCCTTGTCCTTGCCCCTGCAGGTCACAGCCTCGGCTCAGCGAAGGTGTCCCGGGCGCAGACGTTTCCCAGCTACCCCTCGGAGCAGGGCGAGGAGCACCAGCAGTCCCTCTCGCTGGCCAGCAGCTACGCCTTCAGCTACGGCTCGGGCCTGGTGCAATGACAGCCGGGGGCGGCCGGCCGAGAGAAGAGAGACAGTCAAGCCTGGAGCCTGCTGCCAGGGCCGGGGAGCCAACCGGCCCCCTCCGCACCCACCATTCGCCGTGAAAACTGATGCCTACCAGCTCCAGCCAGGTCACCGCCGAGGCGGAAACCTGGAGAGGTGGCTTCCCCGAAGCAGAGGCTAAGTCTTTATTTATTTATTTTGCCGTTCCTTTTGTTGATAAGTTCGGAAAGGAGGGGGGTTTGGGGGTGGGT